CTTAAAACGGAGGCTTTATTTTTTCGGTATACTAATATATTATAGTCATAAAACGGAGGCCTTGATTTGTTCGGTACACTAATATATTGTATTCTAAAGAAGGCCTTTATTTTTTCGGTACACTAGTTCTATTTAACATTATCTCACAAAATACATAAATAAAGTTTCACTTTGTTCGAGCACCTTTATATAAAACCCTTTTTTCTAAATGTTAGTAAGTGTGTAAAATGAACAATGCATAAGGTATATTTATACGTGTTTTAACCTCCAGCGATAAATCTGAAGGCTTATAACTCTAAAAACCGGGCTTCAATACCGGTGTAGCTTTGCGCTTAACAACAAACATACAGGATTCAAATTCGAATGACGAGGAACCCACTTTGAGACTAATAATGGCTGGAGACGGCTTGAATGGGTAATGAAGAAAAACTTTAATATAAGTTTAACATAATAGCAAATGTACAACGTTTCGACAAGGTTTTGTCATCATCAGGTACAAAACCTTGTCGAAACGTTGTGGCCACGTGGTAAGGTGATTGTTACTGGTTTTTTCCTGATTCAGAAGCGTTTATTTTAGAAGCTATTAAGTTAGCTTAATTAAATTGGTCTTTTTACTCAGATAATTGGTATTTTGTTAAAATACAAATAGCTTACTGGTCAATATAACAAACTCCAACCCATTATCGATTTTGACAGGATAAGGATTTTTACAACTACTAACAGTAACAATCTTGCTTTGAGCTGTTTTAATATTATTGTAAATATTTTTTTTAGAATTTTGGAAATTGATTACTGTACAGATAAATAAAAACTGAAAATACATATATGTATTTGGTGTAATAAAACTACAAGTACAAACTTTAATTTAATTGAAATAGTTTTTTTATGTATCATAACTGCTAGTTGATCCCCCCAGAGTATTTAAAACAATTCAAGTAACAGGCAAACCGGAAGATGTAAAACTCTTAAACTCGGGGTTCAGTCCCTGCGCCAATAGCCCATAGTGCAGTTTTATATTTAACACAAACAAAACTTGCCTCTTATTTTTTTAAGTCCCCTCCCCCCAGTGGCACAGCGGTATGTCTGCGGACTTACAACGCTAGAATCCGGGTTTCGATACCCGTGTTGGGAAGAGCACAGATAGCCCATTGTGTAGCTTTGTGCTTAATTACAAAACAAACAAACAATATTTTTAAGCAACGTCAGTGACGACGTACTATCTTGAAAATGATCAATAACGTCACTTCTCCTACACCTGAAAAATGTATAATTTTGTCTCATCACTCACGCGCTAGTAACAATTTAAACAAGTTTTTGAACTGATCATAAACGTGAAACAATGAACCAAACGTATTGTTTAAAGTTTACTTGGTGCAAGACATTTACTGACAAGAGTCTAGTTAGGCCTAAGCGGACGAATGTTGTGCCTGATGAAGAAAGCAGTATCGAAAAAAAAAACGTGTAGAAATTGTCTGTTCACTTATTTGGTTTAAACAGGAGTCTAGCCTAAAAACGTGTAGAAATTGTCTGTTCACCTATTTGGTTTAAACAGAAGTCTAGCTTGATAACGTGTAGAAATTGTCTGTTCACCGATTTGGTTTAAACAGGAGTCTAGCTTAAAAACGTGTAGAAATTGTCTGTTCACCTATTTGGTTTAAACAGGAGTCTAGTCTAAAAACGTGTAGAAATTGTCTGTTCACCTATTT